GGGAAAGAATTTAACAGTTGGATAGGCTCTGATACCAGCTTTCTGGCATGTTTGGGCATTGGCCTGACAGTCTACTTTTCCAGCTTTCACTTTTCCTTTAATCATCTGAAAAAAGACAAATATGGTTTACCATTCTCTTTGGAATGAAGTATTTTGGCAACCACAACGCAATGTGATATGAAAATTTCAAATCTTTATAAACCTAAGGATTTGTTATTTAAAACATTTCAATCCTCCCCATCAAATAAGATTGCTTCCAAATTCTTACTAGTGCTTTGCATTCCTATTTGTCCAGCACGTCTCCAATAGCAATAATTTCTCTTTTGCCTTATCAAGAAAATTGAATTTTGCACTAAATGACCTCAACTTCTTGGTACCTACACCTGCCTGTCACAGCATGAACATCCCAGACGGTCTCCTTCCTGTCTTTCTCTGAGGTAGCACCCATCTTGTGGAAGGCTGACTACTCCAGTTACACTCTCCAGCTGTCTCACTATCAGATCTCTTACTTTCTCTAGCATGTGCACATCCGATCAAAAAAAGGATTCCTTTCTTAATTGCAGGGAAGGAATTAATTGAAGGAAAAAGGGAACATTGGCTAATTCTTGAGTGTGCTCTGACCAGAGACTGAACCTACAACCTTGGCATATTGGGACAAAGCTCTAATTGAGCAACCTGGCCAGGGCTAGATATATGCTTTTGTATTAATAATCATAGAAGTTATCACCTAAATTTGAATTTGAAGACCCAGTGGTTCAGGGGTGGGCAAACTTTTTGACTCGAGCGCCACAATGGGTTCTTAAACTGGACCGGAGGGCCGGAACAAAAGCATGGATGGAGTGTTTGTGTGAACTAATATAAATTCAAAGTAAACATCATTACATAAAAGGGTACGGTCTTTTTTTTTTTTTTTTAGTTTTATTCATTTCAAACGGGCCAGATCCGGCCTGGGGGCCGTAGTTTGCCCACGGCTGGGTTAGATGCTTAGTTTCTTGGTTGAAGAAGAAAAAAAAATGTCACTGACCCCAAAACAATTAGGTAGAGATGCTGGCTAACTTTTTAAATAAAGAATGAAGCCTACTGCAAAGATTATAGTTGTAGAAATGAAATGGTTTTTAAAACTCAGAGGAAACTTTTAAGAAAGAATAAAAATTGTATTTAAAATGTTTCAGCTAATTATTAAAACATGCATGTGATTACAATTTATTTAAGTAGGTAGACAAGACTTACCCTGGCCAAGAGCTCAAACTCTGGGGCAAAATTTTGGCAAGGTCCACACCAAGGAGCATAGAAGTCAATCACCCAATGGTTTTTCCCTTGTAAAACTTTTTCATTGAAGGCCTGAGGCGTAAGATCTATGGATGCTTGAGGCAAAAATCTGAGGCAAAAATCAAAATTATTTTTCATTATACAAAACCAAAGCAAACTTCTAAAATATAATGCTGCAAAAGTTTTTAAGTTTAAAGTGACTTTAAAGAATGACAATGTAATAAACCACAACCTTATCTTTGGTAAATTATAATTCTTTACTAAGTGCTTTAAAATGCTAGAATTTTAAACAACTCACAGTAAATTTAATTATAGACATAAGAGGAAGGTAAATAATATTAAATCCATTTTGTACAATAATATATATTTTAGTTACTCACCCTAGACCCCAAATTCTTAGGGAATAGGCATCCCTATTCCAACCATTGTAACTACTGAAAAAAAGAAAAATATATGTCAGTTGTAAATAGAATTTTTCATTACTGGATATGTTCAGAAAACTATCTCATTGTAGAAATCCTATACAACGAAAGGCTAACATGCAAATCGACCAAATGGCAGAACAACTGGTGGCGATGATGCACACTGACCACCAGGGGGCAGATGCTCAATGCAGGAGCTGCCCTCTGGTGGTCAGTGTGCTCCCACAGGGGGAGCACCGCTCAGCCAGAAGCCGGCTCACAGCTGGCAAGCACAGCAGTGGTGGTAGGAGCCTCTCCCGCCTCCACAGCAGCGCTAAGGATGTCCAACTGCCGGCTTAGACCTGCTCCCCGTGGGAAGTGGGCCTAAACTATCAGTCAGACATCCCTGAGGGCTCCCAGATTGTGAGAGGGCACAGGCTGGGCTGGGGGACTCCCCACATCGCCCCCAAGTTCATGAATTTCATACACCAGGCCTCTAGTTTAAAGATAAGTTTAGTCCAATGACTTTATCTAGCATCTCTCTTCTCAGATACACCGAGCTATAAACACTACTTACATGGCTTCCCAAATACATTTTTCACTAGTCTTAATGTCTCTTTGTGTTCCAGACAGACCTGAATGTGTCGCTGCTTGCTGGACACCTACAAACCCATGGCAATGACAAAAGTGAACATGTCCAAGGCTTTAGTTTCTGAACCTTTATTCCAGTTACTACTGTCTGTAAAATTCATACCCATTTGTAAGAGCCACTTCACAAATGCAGTATTTCATGATTTTTCTCATAGTTGTGATTCCTTCCTCCTTTGAAATCCATGGTTCATTTTTACTTCTTAAATAATATTTATTATATTTTGCCTTGTGTTTTCCAGTTTTCTATCTGAAAAACCATGTGGTGTTGTGAAAACATGGACAATGAGAGAGACCTGGTTTCAAGTTCCAACTTTAAACCTTAGCAGCTGTTATCTAAATTAATCTAAGGTCTTTGAATTGGTTTACTTATCTGATAAGTAATAGTATAGGAAGGGTAATAACTTTTGTTTGTTTTTTCAGGGTATACATGAGGACTAGTGGAGATAATATGAGCAAAGATCTAGTATAGTACCTGAAACTAACCAGGGACTTAATAAAGGTTAGTTCTTTCTCTCCTTATTTCTTCTTTACTAGATTGTCAGCTTCATGAACAGTGTAACTGTTCCGTTCTCTTTTCATTTTCTGAAGTTCTCATTAGCACACTATCTTAGGCATGGTGAGTTCCCAAAAAATACTTGTTGGGTTAACTTTTATTTAGTTAGAATAACTTTTAAGTGTTAACTGTATAAATGATTATAGTAAGTGCCTTAAAATTTTAGACAATACTTACTGATATTGATAAGCTTTATTTGATTTTGGGGGGAAAAATCTTATCTCAGGGTATCTTCGAACATTTTCTTCAGCACAAAAAGAATGATACTGTTGGCAGTCTATGCTGCCCACATTGATTAGTCCAGTTAATGTCTGGAAAAGAAAAAAAAGAGGAGACAAATATATCAAAGTGATTAGAAAAAAATAACCTCCACAACTACTTTATATATATTTGCATAGAGAAACTATCACTGTGAGACAATTATTATATTATTTATCAGTGATTTTCATCAAATAAAAAAAAGGGCAAAAGGGCTTAAATATAATAGAACATTTAGAGTAATAAACTGAAAATTTAATTTTGTAGTTAAGAACTCACTACAATTATTGCATATTAAACAACTGATTTCATTCACCTATTATATAGAGAAAATTAATTTTTTTCTAAAAACAATGTATTTTTTAATCCTCACTCAAGAATGTTTTTCCATTGATTTTTAGAGAGAGAGGAACAGAGAGGGAAAAACAGAAATATTGATGTGAGAGAAACACATGATTGGTTTCCTCCTATACATGCCCTGATTAGGCCTGGCCAGGAAGGAGCCTGCAACTGAAGTACATGTACTTGACTGGAATTGAACCTGAGACTCTTCAATCTGCAGGCCAACACTATATCCACTGAGCCAAACAGGCCAGGATGGGAAAATGAAATTTTTTCTAAAATTCAAAGAATTAGAAACCAAGAATGAATATGGGTCTTGACAATGGAATTTCAGAGTTATTTTTTCAAATGGACACATGGACTGTGGTCAGCACATGGACTCATAGTTAAATTTAAAAATTTTAATGAAAAGAGCACAAAGTTGTATTATCTCAAATGTTAAGATACCAGAAATCACTTTAACTCAGGTTTGTTCATGTTTTATCTTAGAAATAAACAAAGTAGTTACTGTATTTTCCATTCTGGTATTTAAATCTTTTTTTCCCAATCTTTCATAATTTATATAACACTATGTCTATTTGTATGAAATTTAAAAAATCCAAATAGTATTATAGGTCAAAGCTATTTTTAAGTCCTACAATATTGTGAAGAAACTATATTTGAGCTCTAAAAGTAAAATAAAGGAGACCTTTGGGTTGTCTTTGGCAGAAATTTGGTCAAATACAATATGAAGTGTAACACAAAAAAAAGGTAAATTATTCTATACCATTCATATACCAGACAGAAGCTGAGTTGAAATCCAAGTGGTGTGATCAGAACTGTTAAGTTATAATCTAGAGGTGGGTTTACTCATGCTAGTTTCAAAATAATTCTGTTAAATAGACGTTCTTAGTAAATGTTTACATTAAAAATAAATGATTTTACTATACCCGGGCCATTCTTTTCCATTCTGGCATTAAAACTTGACATGGATGACACCATGGAGAATAGAAATCAACCATCCAGACTTCATCATGTTTTCTTTGTTTAACTAGTTCATTGAAAGTGGTGGGTGACAGGGAGATCACTGAAGGATTCATAAGATCCTAAAGACAATACAACTTTCATTATAACAGATATAGAAAGAGTTGTTCATATATTCTTGGCAAATTGTTGGTATCAGTCATTTAGAAAAATTTGTTTTTGAATAAAAAGATACTTAAGGATATTTAAAGAGTATTTATAGTGAATTAATTTAAAAAGGAAGAAATGATCCCAAATTTTTTATGAAGTTTGGATTATTTCCTATCTGTTTTTTAAAACTTTTATTTTATTGCTTAAAGTATTACAAAGAATAGTACATATGTTCTCCCCCCCCGACCTTTGTCTTCTTAAATTAAGATATATTTTATTCCTATTTCTATGTATCACTAAAATAAACAGGCAACTTTAAGATTATGAGCAGATGAGGCAAGATTTTCAAGAGCTGCCCCAGATCTATATCATAAAAGGCCTGCGGTCATGATGCCATAATGGCGGAACGACCAAACAACCATTCACCAGGAGGTGCACAGAGCACCTCTCGCAGGCTGGGGCTCGCATGGGGCTGGCAGGGCTTGCATGGGGCTGGTGCGGTGGAGGCGGGGCCTGCGGTTTGTGCGGGGCAGTTCTGGGGTCTTGTGGCTCGCACGGGGCAGTTCTTGGGTCCTGCTGGCACAGCAGGTCTGGGTCTTGCACGATTTCACGTGCTGTGCCTCTAATGCAGGGGTGGGCAAACTTTTTGACTCGAGGGCCACAATGGGTTCTTAAACTGGACCGGAGGGCCGGAACAAAAGCATGGATGGAGTGTTTGTGTGAACTAATATAAATTCAAAGTAAACACCATTACATAAAAGCGTATGGTCTTTTTTTTTTTTTTAGTTTTATTCATTTCAAACGGGCCGTAGTTTGCCCACAGCTGCTCTAGTGTCTACATAAGATGTAGTTCTGTTTTGGAACCAATGATTGGTTTGAAAACGGCCCCTTAATTAACGGAAAGCCTATTAGTCTATTTTCCTGACATGCTGACTGGAGACACTGCACGACCTCTCTACAGATCACTCGCTCCAAATGCTATTTTAACAAAGTTTTAGTCTATCATGATTGGGTAATATTAACGAAGATGTTAGCTTCACTGGGGGAAACCTCAAAAATCGAAACAACACAAAACCAAAAACTATTATTCCTGAGGCGTAGGGAGAGAAAAGGACAGAGAATGGTCACTACATAAATAATATGCTAAAATTTTTCATTCTTAAGAACCCCCTATTTAATATTTTAGTCAATTAGTATTAGTGGAAAAAAAAGGAGATGCTATAGATATAGGGCACTGCTGTGCTGATAATGGGACTGGCACAGCTGCCCAGGCTTGAAAGAGGCCCTCCACTGGGGGTTGGGCTAGACTGCCCTTACTCACCCACACCTTTCCTGGATGATACTGAGTTTACTCCTACCTCATCTATATGGATGGACCTAAAAGAAGCCATGGTGGTTCTAGCTGAGACAACATGGAGAGGGGGTGGGGCAAAGCTTTATGTGAAAATATAATTTCAATGTATTCAAGAAATAATTGTGCCCACTAAGTACAAGGCACTGAACTAGATGATAAATAAAACACAGACTTATTCTTAGAGTTTATAGTAAGTACATAATAGGAGTAAAACATTAGAAAAATATAAGAAATTCATTTTCTTGTCAGAAAATAATGTGTTGGTATGAGAAGAATAAATCCTGTTATTAAACACTAGTGGCCTGGTGCACGAAATTCATGCACAGGAAGGGGGGGGGAAGGAGGGTGTCCCTCAGCCCGGCCTGCACCCTCTCCAATTGGGGACCCCTCAGGGGATGTCCTCGCCTCAACTGCACCGCCCCCCCACCGCAGGCCTGATCACCCCCAACTGCCCTCCCCTCATGACCTGATTGCCCCTAATTGCCTCTGCCTCGGCCCTGCCCCTATGGCTTTGTCAGGAAGGTCTCCCGGTCTAATTAGCATATTACCCTTTTATAGATGATTAAATATTTATACAAAGAGTAAACACACACAGAAGGATTTACAGCCATGAACTTAAAATAACTTACATTACCTCTATAATTTATAATACTACAGAATTAAATTAACTTAAATACCTCTATGAACTCCAAGATCTGTTCAGCAGAGTGATGGCCTTCATATTCATGAACATTGGACTGGTTGAACACCACTGTAGTTGGATAAGCCTGAATGTTATACTGTTAAGAATGAGAAGACAAATTAAACATGATTTTATACATTTAACCTATTTGTTTAAAATTTATAACCAGTTTGTCTTTATTTAAGTAATAGGATTTAAAAGACCCATTGCTAAATTTCTGGTGACTGAAAAATTTTAGCCTGGACAAAATTTGCAAAAGAATTGGATTCACAGTTGTACTGATGAATACCTAACCCTTACTTACAGATACTACATAAGACATAAAATCCATAAGCATGAAATGCAGGGAAGTGAACATGGATAATTGAGCTTGGTCCCTTTTTACTCCCTTGAACTTAGTTTAAGTTGAACATTTTCTACGTTTATTTCCTCTTTTGTGATATGTCTGTAAACTTTTTTTCAAAATTTAAAAAAAAATTGATTTATAGTCTTTAAATATTCTGGACTATAAGGCTTTGTCAGTTATATGTGCAGCCTGTTCCCTTAACTTTATAGTGTCTCTTTGGTAATAGTTTTTACATTTAATGTAGTCAAATTCATTCACATTCATCAATTTTTATATTTAGTTTTTGTGTGTGGAGTGAGAAATTAGTCCTCACACAGATGCCATAAACATTTCATCCTATATTCACTTTCATTTATCTTTTTAAAAAAGTCTGAGTTTTTATGAATTTTGACTTAAAATACACACAAAAACAGAACAATAAAGTCTCATGTGCTCTCGGGACCACAGCAATCATTTACTCATCGCTTTTTTAAAAAAATGTTTTCATTGATTTTTTAGAGAGAGAGAAGGGAGAGGGATGGAGACAGAAGCATTGAGGAGAGAGATGCACTGATTGCCCGCCTTCTGCATGATCCCTACTGGGGATCAAGGGCAAAACCTAAGCATTTGCCCTGACCAGGAATCAAACTGTGCTCTCTTGGTTCATGAGTCAACACTCAACCACTGAGCCACTGTGGCCAGGCCCATGGCTATTCTTAATTCCTTTATACACTCGTTAGTCGGGACACTCGTAAGTCAAGGCCCCACTGTACTTCTTCCACTCTACCCTATGCCAAGATTATTTTAAAGATAATTCCAGATAACTTATCATTTCATTCATAAATATTTCAGTATATTAAAAACATGTATTTCCCCCAAATATAACCACACTATCATTTTCATATCTAAAAATTAACAATTCCTGAAAATAATTAGATATCCTATCAGAGGTCAAATTTTCCCAATTTGCTATTTTTGCAGATGGTTTGTTTAAATTGCATCCACAGGAAGACTATACTTACATTTGAATGGCATGTCTTCTAAGTCTTTAATCTTCTTCCCCTTTTAATAAATGTGTCCAATAAACTGGTTGTCTGTCTATAAAGTCCTCTATATGCTGGGATTTGCAAATTGCACGCCCATGTTGTCACTTAACCTGTTCTTCAATACACTAATAGAGCTGATGATTTGATTTAAATTTTTTCCAAGAATATTTTATAGGGGGCATTGCATACTTTCATCATGAGGTATATAATTTCTAGTACTTCTTAAAACTGAAGAGCATATTTTCACCCCATATCGCATTCATTGTAATTTCCTTCTATTAGCTATACAATTACAAGGAAAGCCAAAGAAAAAAGCTATAGACCTCCAAAAGGAAATATTAAGTTAAAAAAAATATGAAGATCTTAAATAATTGAAAAATCAAATATTTTATCAAGTCAACTAAATATTTTCCTGAGTTTAATAAATAAGACTATATCTACACTTAACTACATATATTATCATATTTTAATCCATCATAATTTATTGAAATTATTGGTTTAAAATATCTGTTACACTCTAAATGTAGATGTATTTTTGAAAAAGTTATTTTAATATCAGATTAATTAGAAAATACTTTTAATACTTTGCCTTACCATGTTACAAAGTCCCTCATGAACTGTACAATCTAGTGTACCAAATTTAAGCTGACCATAAAGATGCTTTGATGCTTTTCGTAACTCTGGCAATAAAGCTCGACATGGTGGACACCACTACAAAAGAAAAAATATTCATAAGCACTGAGCCAAATAAAATGTACAACAAAACCCACATAATTTTTGCAACAAGCAATATAAGTAAGACAAACCACACTTAGTTGTGAATCTTATGCTTGTATATGCTTAATCCTTAGAGGAAAGTACATCGGTTCTCTCTTAGATACAATGTGTGGCTGTAGCCAAACTGTACCCATGGTTCAAGGTTATCTAGGAAATGTCTTTTTGCTGTAAGAAGAGAAAATCTGACAATATTGAATTTTGACAGACAAAAACTTACAGGGGCAAAAAAATCAACAAGCCATGGTTCTTTGTCATTGGCAGGAAAATTTTGAGGTCCAAGTGTGGTAACATGAGAATGAACACTTTCTTTGGCAAAGGCAAGTATATCATAGAGAATCTTCTTTCCTTTGAAATTGAGTAAGAGAAAAGTTAAAATCCATATTCTGCCTTTTATCTATAAAAACATATATATATGGAAAGTAATATATTAATAAATAATAATATAAGAATAAACTCTATTTTGTGTACTCACAAGTATAAACCTACTTTTGGCCACCTCTGTATTTAGAGGGGCAAGAAGGAATGATTACAATGCAGGAGGAAGAAAAATTTCATATGAAGGCACAGAGGAGTGAAAGAACATCATATTTTCACAGATCCACAAGTAGCTGGAGCTATAATTATTTGGAAGGGTAGAGATGAGGCTGAAAGAGCCATCAGAGGCAGATTGTGAATGTATACCGTTAATTTAACAACTATATACTGAGTTCCTACTATACACCAGACACCATTCTAGGTGCTGGAGATAGAGTGGTGAGCAAAACAGATAAAGTCATTGCTCTTATGCTAAGAAATCTGAACTTTATTTTAAAAGAAATCAGTAGTCAAGGCAGAAAAGTGACATGAGAATGTTCCTAGAACTTGTAGGGCAATAAATGCAAATAAAACAACCAACAATAAAAAAGAAAGGCTATAAGATGGAAAACTGTATCAGAAGATGATACAGTACACGATGGATCTGAAATAAGGCAGCAAGCACAGAAATGAAGAGGAGTCAGAAATATTTCAGAGGTAAAAAAAGAACAGAACTCCATTATTATAACCTGGTCATTCCTGGTCACTTGAAGGAGGTAGCATTTAATGAACTGTAAGCCTAGACTTTGGAGTCAGATATATTTGGATACAAAATCTACTTGGCCAGTTACTGGTTTTTGTCATTGGCAAAGTTACTTAGCCTTTCTGAGCCTCAATTTTCTCCCTTGCAGGACTGTGGTGAAGATACAAAATGGAAATACCAAAGTATGCAAAACCTTTAGAAAAATGTTTGCCTTCGAAAAAGTACAGAATAAACAGTCGTTACTATTGGGATTACCTTGCCAAGCAAGCCTTTGTTCACATAGTTCCTATGGCCTAAAGGAAGTCACTTCTCATTCTTCTGTATTTGCTTTGGTAAACTGAGCATGCAAATGTCACCTGAATTCAAATATCACCTCCTGACTTATACTGTGCAAAAGTCTCTTTGATTTTATTAATTTATACATAATGGCTATTACATTGGTTTTCATATTTGCTTATAGATCTCCTTCCTCTCACCTGTACTAGGTATTTTAAGATTCTTGAGAGTCAAGTCCATGTCTTACAACTTTGCATTCCTAACACCTAACACAGGGCTTAACAGGCACAATGTTAATATCTGTTATTTACTGTGATAGGTAGTAGTTCGCTTGACTCTTGCTACATTTCACCTTTTCAGGAGAGAGACTATGATGCATCCCAAACCCTAGGAACTGGAACTTCGCTTACATGAATGCAGAGTTGCAATCCCTAACAAGCTGTAATGTAGAAACGTGATTATAAATTCAAGGAAGATGACAAAGCAGTTAATGGAGATGCTTGGTAGTCTAGTGGAGGAAACATCTAAAAGAATGTCTGAAAATTACTCATAATGGTTGAGATGCTACATTTGGCAAACTGGAATGAACACTATAGGTGCTACTTTGGTCAACAAGCAAGATCCTTAAATTCCTCCCTAGCCTAACATCTCACCACAGTTCTTGCTGAAACACTGATCAAGAGTCAAGAATATAAAATAACTAAATATAATTAAAAATGTTTTTCCTTACAAGAAACAAATTTATTAATAAATATGAGCAAATTATTTATACATATGTCCATATAATATACGGTAAAAAATAAAATTAGCCGAAACCGGTTTGGCTCAGTGGATAGAGCGTCGGCCTGCAGACTGAGAGGTCCCAGGTTTGATTCCGGTCAAGGGCATGTACCTTGGTTGCGGGCACATCCCCAGTGGGGAGTGTGCAGGAGGCAGCTGGTCGATGTTTCTCTCTCATTGATGTTTCTGGCTCTCTATCTTTCTCCTTTCCTCTCTGTAAAAACTCAATAAAATATATTTAAAAAAAAAAAAAAGTAAAATTAAAAATTATAGTCAAACCTTGTTTTATTGTGCTTTGCTTTAATGCACATCACAGATGTTGTGTTTTAAAAGTATATATATTAATTTATTGATGTCAGAGAAAAGGGAGATAGAAACATTAATGATGAGAGAGACTCATCGATTGGCTGCCTCTTGCACGCCCCACAACGGGGATTTAAGGCTGCAACCCAGGCATGTGCCCTGACTGGGAATCGAACCGTGACCTCCTGGATCAGTGGTTGAGCATAGGTCTAATTTTAATAATCATAACCATTACTTCAAAATAATGTCAAAAATTCAGGCACATCCATATTCTTATTTTGTAGTTTATTTGGGATAATGCTATTTGGGATAGGTCTATGCTCAACCACTGAGCCATGCTGGCCAGGCACAGATGTTGCATTTTTTAAAAATGAAGGCAAGAAACTTCACCAATCAATAAGATTACGATTCGTTTTATTGTGGTGATCTGGAACCCAACCCACAATATCTCTGAAGTATGCCTGTACTGTTTGAAAATGAAGTTACATTTTTTCTCCTTCTTACCATGATGAATTTCATATTCTTTGGTTCCTTGTCCTTTAAATACTGCTAGACATGGTTGAAAAACATACAGATTGCTACAGATATTTGGTGCAGAGGAACAGTCAAACTTGCCAATCTAAAGCAGAAAGAGAAGGTTTAATTAGATGAAAATGAAATCTTATCCAATCAATTAAGTATTCATAAGGGTAATCACAAAATGACATTGCTCTAACAACAGTTTCTAAACAGAAGTTAATAGGCTATAAATACAAGAGATAGAAATAATTAATTTACATTTAACACTAAAACGCAATTTAAAAAAAAAAGCTCCTAGAAAGTTAACAAACCTGAGAAGAAATTTCCAAGATAATATAAAGTTGTTTAAGAAAGCCACCCTTCTAAAAATGTAGAGAATATTTATATAATCTTGGGTTGGGGGAGAAAGAAACCTTTTCATGTGAGACCCCAGAAGTAGATAATAAAGAAAAAGATTGACATTTTCATACATTGTAGAAGAAAACTAGTTATTTAAAATATAACTTTATGTATTAATAAGAAAGCATAGTAGCAGAAAGTTGGGCAGAATACATTTTTCTTACTTGAATATGTTCATTTTTAAGTAGAGTCTTTAGTTTCTTCAACTCAGGATCATTTGAATTTCCATTTTTTCCAAAATGAAAAAATAAGAGCCATCGATGATGAGCCAAACGATCCTTAAAAGTGATTAAAAAGTTAAAAAGAAATGTGAAAGACAGGAAATTCTGAGTTCTAATCTTTCTTTTCATTCTCTTAGAGTTAATTTTAATAATCCTAACCATTACTTCAAAATAATGTCAAAAATTCAGGCACATCCATATTCTTATTTTGTAGTTTATTTGGGATAATGCTCTTTAAATCAATTATATAAAATTACAGAAGGATAAAAGTCACTACATTATAAAATATTAAAGTAGACAACTAATTCTACTGTAAGTATTTCTGAAGCTGCTTCTTAATTACTCATTGAAAAATATGAATAGTTCTGTAATCAAGAACAAAGTTTCCCATTAGATCCAAAGCGGCTTTGTGGTCAAAATCTTGCTTTTATGACATTCCTGAAGCCCTTTAGGACTGGTTACGTTTTACAAAACTACAGATCCTCCCCATACCACCAGCAGCTCTGTCAATCAGAGTTTAACCTAAAATTGACTGATATATAATCCTTTGAAACTGCTACTTTCTCTCTAGTGATGAATAAACCAAATGTTGACTAAAATATTAAGACTTAAAATGTTAGCAACATTATTTATCATTATAAAAATATTACCTCTAGTGTGTCTGCTGAAAGTAGTTCAAAATCTGGAAGATTATGCATTATTTCCAAATATATTTCTTTAGCATCCAATGAATTAAGAAACTAGAATAAGAGAATTATATTGTAATTTTTTTAAGTCAATATCCATTTACTTTAGTGTCTTTTTTGTTGTTGTTGTTTCCACAGAAGAACTTTTAAGGAAAAAAGTCACAGAAGTTAAATAGTTTTCAAGCTATTTATTCTAAATGTTAATTCCCCCCCCCCCAAAGTATTATCATATTTTGGCAATTATTAAAAATTGTATAACTGGGCTGTTTTTTTAAAAAGTGATGTAAAACAAATTTCCTTATTAGGTGTTTCGTTACCTGGAATTGCCTATTAACTGTTCTGTGTGTCCCACAATAATCCTCACAACACACTGGAGTGACTGCGTCACGAGGAAAGTGCTACCTTACGTTCAGTTCAATGTTAATGCTAACCATGTCTCATACAGAATGACAATGCTTTACCCATTATTTAAGAATTGTTAAAACACTAGAGTATTTGATGACCCAAGACACTTCATACCCCAACCAATAATTAATAGGAATTAAGATAAGAACTTATAACTAGAAAATGAAAAGGCACCTTATTATAGAGGTTTTCAGAAATAATGTCCAAAAAACCAAACTACCTATGAGTTTTGCAGAATAAACTATACTGGTAAAGGTCTTATTTTAAATATGTTTTACATCTAGGTCTCATTTAAAACACAAACAAATAACTGAAGAAGGCACACCTCCCTTCTAACACATCACCTTTACTTCTGCCCATATTTCATCCTCAGCATATTTTTCTCACAGAACTATCTGGTGGTCTAATTCTCAATGAAGCAGCTATTACTACAAAGAGTGCAGCAGTGGTTATATCAAGAAAATGTATATGGGTTGACAAAATAGTTTAATATATATTTAATTAAAAACCATCCATGTTTGACAATTCAAATACTACTTGAAAGATCTAAAACTCCATTAAAACTTGTAAGAACTACCACTGTATTCACAGCTTAATTGCGCTTGATATGAAACAATGGGAATAAGAACAGCAAAGTCAGTTTTTCCCCCTGGAAATTTGTTTTTCTGTTTTTTTTTTAATCTATAGCATAAATATTCTTAAAGCTCTATATGAAATATTTTGTTACCAAAGGCCCTAAGAGGTCAAAACAGAATTCTTTCATGCCTCTGTACTACAGCTCATTCACTTTTAGTCACATTCATTATGAAGATTTTGCTAAAATTACTCCTATAGCAGCTTATCTTATCTATATATATATAAAACCCTAATATGCAAATAGACTAAACGGCAGAACAACCAAACAACCAGTTGCTGTGATGTGCACTGACCACCAGGGGACATGCGTGCGGAACATGGTGGGCATCGGCCGTGGTGGGATGGTGGAGCAGGTGAGCGGAGGTGCCGTCTATACCAGTAAAAGGGTAATATGCTAATTAGGGCAGATGTCTTCTGGACAACCTTCCAGACAAAACCGCAGTAGCTGTGAGGGCCAAGGCACGGCTGCGAAGGGCCCAGGCTCAGGCCGGCAGAGCAGCAGCAGCGGGTAATTAGGGCAATGCCTTCCCCTGATCCCCCAAGCAGTCACACCTCCCACCAGCACTGGCCCCGCTCACACCCACTGCCGGCGCTACAGCCACCGCTCGCACCCACTGCTGGCACCCTCAACTTTAAGCAGTAAAAGATATTCTCAACCTGGGTTAGAAATATGGGAGTTCAACTTTTTGGTAGAAGAGTGGAGAATGTCGGATCCTCGATCGCTCAGCGACGTCAGCGGATGCAGGTGGTAGCTGCTGGCCCCAATCGCCACCGAGGGTTTCTCCATTTCCCCCTGCTCCTGAGGGGCGATCAGGGCAGCAGCCACCACTTGCACCTGCTTACAGTGCCGGCCCTGCTCGCA